GTTAGTTTATTTGCCATGATATTTGCACAATATCACTTGTGCCTGGCTACTGTTGGCAGACTTCAATAGTAGAAATAGGTAGTATGGAAAAGCCAAATTTCTCCTATGATATTGTCACTATGAGGCATATTCATATAGCAAGACTTGCCAATAGTCTTGAAGCAGATTTGGGATGCAGTTAAAGTCTTCCTACCCTTAAAAACCCAGGCAAAGAAAATGGCTAATTTCTTGCTACTATATTCCAGTTGCCTTTCTGTGACAGGCAAAATGCTTGGCTACAAATCTGTTTCCTTTTCTCATCGTCTTCTTTACCTTCCCTGTCATAATGACTTTTCACATGTCTCAATAAAACAATAATTAAAGGCAAAAGCTACATCTTAATTTATATTTCCAATTCCCACAATATTAATGTGATTTCAACGATATAGACACTGTCTTGCTTCCCTCAGCCACCTTCCATTTTATTTTAATAAAATCAACTTTTTACTATGCTTTTAATTACCCTATAAAATTGGAGCTAGGATAGAACTTTCTATCTAAAACGTATTAGCACAACTTGATGGGGTATTCACCAAGTAAAACCACTGATTTTTTTTAATATTCTAATACAGTGATCACCATTTTATCACCTGAAACATTTATCTCTCCTTCCTATCTTTCCTTCTTCCCTTTTTCTTTTTAATTAAAAAGCCCACAGTTATTTTTATTATTTTTAAATTTAATTTTTATCGAATGTAATTTTCATATAATATAGTTAGCTGGTATTTAGATACCATCTCCTATCTGTACCTCCCCCCCAAGGCCTTCCCTTCCCAATTCAGTGTACCCCCATATATATAATATAGCCTATAGATTTCCCAAACATGTGGGTCTATCTACTGGGCCCACCAAGAGGCCCATCACTGTAAGATACTGTCGCTCCCTCTCCCAGCACCCATCAATTGCCAAATTCTCCTTAGGCTGGGTTGGGATTTCTTACCAGTTTCCCCATGTCTATGTGGGAATGTCTTTGAGATGCTTAACCCTAAGTGGCACATCTTCAAGGCAACCTCTACACATAGGATGAATGCATCTCTCAACTCACACCAAAGAAATTTCCTTATGCAGCAGATGGTAATTAACATAGAAACCCACAGTTGGCCAGTGTGCAGAGAACAAGAGGCTGCAGAGTGCTTATCCCTGAATAGGACACCTATTTTAAACCTCTGCCCCCCAAGGCTCAGGGATCACTGTGGAAGAGGGGACAAAAAGACTGTAAGAGCCAGAGGGGGTGGATGACCACAAGGAAAGAGAGTCTTCCAGACAGCTGGTCAGTTATTCATATGAATTCACAGCAATAGTGACAGCATACCAAGTCCCATGCAAGCTCAAATCAGACAAAAATCACAGTTGTTTATTTTTGAGATAAGGTCTCCTGTGTCCCAAGCTGGCATAGAACTCCCTTATGTAGCTGAGGATGACTCAGAACTTCTGAACCTCTTGCCTAATACCTTCTAAGTGCTGGGATTACAGGTTACCTGGTTTATATGGTGCAGGGGATCAAACCCAGGGCTTCTTCCCACATGCTATGTTGTTAGCTAATATTCTCTTTTCTCTTCAGACTTGCTATGCTGTGGAACTGTCCCAGAGTCAGCTTTTCCAGATTGACCTGGGAGGAAGCTTTTGATCTCAAAGGATCTCTCTGATGCCAGAATAAAGATGAGCAATGGTTCTTATAATGTCCTTCCTAAAAAGGCTTCCTTCAAAAACAACTTTGCATTGGCTTTAAAAAGGCAGAATATATATATATATATATTTTCCTTTTCCTTCCTGAAAAAGAGCTGGACACTTGCCTTGGAGGTTGCCATATAGATGGAGGGCAGCATGGGTCTCTGTAGAGCCTCCCCTGTAGGTGGATTCTTAAAGAGTTACTACTGGAGAATACAAAGGTTATAGCTGAGAACATGCATGAGAAGTAGAAAGGTGTGGGCAAATCATTTCTAGGTAAGTAAGGGGAATGAGGGTTTGATCTGGGATCTATATAGTTGCTGTATTTAATCAAAACTCAGAAACAGTTTGGGCTTCTGTCTTCCTACAAAGTACCACACTTTCAGTTGCATTTTAGCCTCATTGCAGAATGATAAATATGTGATGTCAGCAGAATTTTCTCAAACCAATAGGCACAATACAAGATCATTTTGAGTTA